TATCAAACTCCTTCCAGCTGCAGTGAAAACCCAGATGTTTGCAGCAGTTTTGTTGTTAACTGAAGAAAATAAAAAATGCCATTTAAACCTTTCCACTGGACCACACTTCTAATGAACTGAACTACTCCTTTAAGAGCAGCTTTTAAAAGCACACAAGAGAGAGTCAGCCAGCTGATCAGTGCGTAACAACAATCAACAAGCCTGTCTCTTGGTAATACTTCTCTACACCACAGACAAACACGCAGACACATCATGAGAGTCTTGTAAAGATGAGCACTTAAGTGATCTCTTTTTCATGAGGCCAGGGCAGAAGGGAAGCAGAGCGATGTATGGAAGCGATAAGAGAAAAACAAATGGAGGTAAAGAAGCAGAGATCTGTTTTGAGCTACGAGGCGGAAACCAGGTGGACAAATGAATGCAGATGCAAGATATTCAACTGTGTTTGGGATTCCTCTATGAACCCTCAGTGCAACCCATATCTGAGGTCAACCTGACATGATGAAACTAGTGTTTGCTATGAGAGTCTCAGGGTTTTCAGGAGTTCAAGAAGAGAGCTGGCAAAGAGAAACACTGCCACCATGCTTATGTCTTTTATACCTTAATACTGTAGCTACTGTAGACCCTTAAGTGTGCACAGTATCTACTAATTTCCTTTACAATATATGCTCTTTCTGCTTACCCATGATCACCATTCTCCCTTGAACATCTCATTCATTAATTTTATAGGAAGAAACAAGCAGTAACTCCTTTGGTCTAAAGTCAATGTGGAACTTCATACAGTAGCTTTCTAGCTGGCTTCAAGCCCAGAGTGAAAGACAGATGAAATGATGCAAATGAGCAATGAAATGGGGCTGGAGGGGAAGCGAGGGGGAGGTCATCTACTGGAAGTGCGGGCTGGATGGATGAATAGAGGAGAAGTGTAATTGAAGACACACGCAGGGTGAATTGGCAAGGACATTTTACTGAGTAGATGAGATATGGTAGCAGACGCCCGCTATGCGTTACTGTCAAACTGAACATGAGTGGAGTTCTCGTCTAAAACGAACYATGAAAGAAAGGTGGAATTAGGTGCTGGAGTGTGATTATATGAGGAGGACAGTGGAGGGAAGGAGCATGCCTGAARGAACAGATGATGGATATAAGGCTGAGAGCAAGAGGACATCCCTCAGGATGTCTCTCGTACACTTTATGGCTTAACGGAGAAAGAGAAAGAAAATAGAAGGATGGGAGGAAAATGTATATTCCTAATATCGTTGTTTCGTCCAATCCAAGCTCTTTTCACCATAAATCATTCTGACTGTGATTAAGGACGATGGTCTTCATGAATCATGCTAAAATTGTAAGTCCTTGGTGAGCTGGCATAATCTTATCACTGTCCTGTGTAATGATAGCATTGGCCGCAATGGTTCCTGAGCTCATAGTGGTGAAGACTTTGTGCTCTATTTTAGTGGTGGTGGCACAAAGCTGTTAATGTGGTGGGGGGACCCGTCATCGTTGCTTTTCCCTGTGGTGATATAAAATACTTGGAGCTGGGAAAGAACTAACTGAAAAGGAGATCTAAAAATGTGTGGCTGTGTGCGTGTGTGTTGGGAATACAGCCCAACCACAAACACACACACWTCCTCAGCCTTTCCCACTTCCTGTCCTTCTCGATGGCTCTTTTAATGAAAGCCAATTCCAGACAGTGCGCCACATTACTCCTTTAAATGACCTTATAAACCAAGCCCGCCAGCTCCTCTCTCTCTCCTTTGCCGTGTTCTTATTTACAATAGCATCAGCTGTTGTAACTCAGTTCCCCTCCTCTGCTCCTTCTTCTGGTGTCAAACTCTGACCATATCGTGATGTCACAACATCTCCTTTATGTAATAAACTTTCCACCTTTCCTCCTCAATCTGTTTTTACAGAGCACTATCACCTGTCTCTAAACATTCAGCTAACAGGCTGTGCAATGGTCACAACCCCTCCAAAACCCAGAGGAACCATAAAGCTTTCAGTGCAGCTTTTCATTGGTTGTAAAATCTGAAGACATAAAAAGGATTGGCATTGCTGGAGGTTCCTTTATTTAACATTCAAATACAGACGGTACTTGAGTAGAAGAAGAGGAGGGGGAGGTGCCTAATATGTCTACGGGTCTGCTCTGAAGGACTGGATCATAAATAACACCCTGCCACCCAGCTGGATTGTTTTTCCATAAAACATGACCTTAGACGGCTGTAAAGTTGTATAGCTCACGACAAAATGAAGCTCTGAATCRAAAGCGAGTGTTACATACACATACATACAACATACAGTCAAATATATTGAAATGTATGAAGTTACACAACTGTGTTTTAATATCACAATATAGAAACAATAAAAATAAATTAGACCTTAAGTTCAATATGCATAATTGCATTAATGCATCTCAGTAGGAGAAAAAAAATTATCCATAAATTTGGAGAGGAGTTGAAAAATCATTAAAACCAGTATTTAATTTAATAAACTATTACAGCTTAAGTACTTATTGTATTTTGGATTGTAAAAATATTAGAAAATAAATTCAATTACTGGTAATTCTGTTTCAGCTGAGTTTGCTG